TTTTTTTTTTTGTACGCTACTTTAAGGAAATGGATGAATGCTACTTGCCAAATCCTATTCGCAGCATATTGCTTAAGTGAAGAATAAAAACAAGGTTAGTAATTTACAGAGGAGTGAATAATTTCTCATTTCCTGGTCTCAGGCCTAATTAATTTACTATACCACTGTCTTTTGATAGTTTCTATTTTTTTCTTTCTTTTTTATTATTTTTCAAATCAGGGATTGTTCTAAGGCACAGTGAATTAAAGTCAATTGATCTATTTAGTTGGGTTTTAGAATCTATCTTCATTTAAGAGAATAAACTTAGATTTCTGCATATTTAACTAGGAATGGATTTCCATTTCATAAAGTTACATGAAAATATACTATTTGGCCAGCCTCTTCTCCGTGGTGCCCAGCAACAGGACAAGAGGCAACGGGCAGAAACTGAACCACAGGAAGTTCCATCTGAACCTGAGAAAAAACTTCTTCACTGTGAGGGTGACAGAGCATTGGAACAGGTTGCCCAGAGAGGTGGTGGAGTCTCCTTCCCTGGAGATATTCAAAAGCTGTCTGGATGTGATCCTGGGCAATATGCTCTAGGTGACCCTGCTTGAACAGGGAGGTTGGACTAGATGATCTCCAGAGGTCCCTTCCAACCTAAACGATTCTGTGATTCTGTGATTCTATGTTTCCAAGAGCTATATACAGATATATGCAAATAAATAAGATAATTAACTACACAATTCATACTGTAAATACATAGATTACTCAAAATATTGTGCTGCATTTCCTCCTGCTTGATCAGCATTCTATTAGAAGACTTTACCCAAACCCAGGTGTTTCAGCGTTGTAAATAAGAGCCTTTGAAATACTTAGGTTACTAACTGCATTTGAAATTACAAGTTGGTTCTTTCTTTAGCATCCATGGAAGACCAAGATAATTTAAATTCAGCCGCAGAACATTAAAAAACTTCTCCTGTATGAGCAGCAGTTAACTTTTTAAGGCTGTTGAATCATAAATCTTTAAGCTATGGAATTAGTTACTAAATTGTCATCTAAAACTCTTTCTTCCCCACTTTATTTTGTGGATAAAGCAATTGTTCTGTAATCAAAACAGATGTCACAGCATGCAGTACATAATTATTGTTGGTGCAACTTAAGAGCAGAAAAGGAAAGTCCAATGCAATGGAAGGATACAATGTATAGAAAAATTGAGTAAGAACACCACGGTGATATTCTAACACATATGCTTTACTAATTTATTCAGTTTATGGAGTCTTCTAACTTCTTCAAATTTATAAAATGAGGAACAGACATGAACACACATTTTGGAAAAGTACCTGAACAAATTTCATCCCTGGCAGTTTACTATTCATTAGATAAATAATATCCTTTACAGCAGCTGGACTGCAAGTCTGCTTTTATATTAGTCATAACTTGAGTAAATAAAGAACTTGAAAAATGTTAGGCGTTAACCCATTAAAAGTAGTAGGAAAGAAAGTGTAGAAGAACAGCAGCAGCACTAAGACGTTTCAGTGCAGGGTTGATATGCAAATTAAAAGTTCCCAGTGTCAACACAGCAAAGCAACCTTGAAGTTCAGTGTGTATGTATCAGCAATGGTTCGATTTTGAAGCACTGATCAGATTACACTATACATACCCAGGGTAACATTTTCTTTCGCAGACTCTTGTTCTGATGTAGCGTTGTTTGACTTGCTTGTTTCAAGATGAGAAGGCAAACTGTTCCTTTGTATGTGCAAACTGGAGTCTCCAGCTTCTTGAAACACAGACACGTCTTGACTTTTTGTTGAAAATCCTGAGGTCTAATAATAGCAAAAAAGTCTTAATTAAGATTCAGTTTCTCAGGAATATGAAGGATAAAAAAAGTTTATGGCAATATGCTCTTTGAATTACATTTCTGCTACAAACATGCTTCTAGTTCTAAATCTATCAAAAACTACTACTGTGTTTATTCCAAACAGAGTACAGTGTAGAGATCATACATTTAAATCTTGCGTAACTATTAAGCCAAAGTATTCCTTCCACCACAGCTTTTCTGTAGTACCTTGCCAAGTTCTCTGCTGTCTTGCGATATCCTGTATTGAGAAAGGGATGATGAGATATCCAAGTCAAGACTTGGTTCCAAAGGCTGAAAGTGCTGGTGATGGGAGTTAGGAAAATGTCTTTCCGTTTCAGGAAAATCAAATTCAGCTGCTGGAACTATAATAAAAAAGGTCATTTTTAACAAACAGACATCTCACACCTTGCTTCTAGATAATAATAAATAGAGCATATAGAACTCTCTAAGTATACAAACAACAGCCTGTAAAAAAAAAAATCCTTACAACATTTAATACTTTCACTCTGATACAATGCAAGCACAAAAGAGCAAAAAACAAACACTACCCTGATTCAATTCTTTCGTAAAAGCTGAGGTCAAGAAGCAGCCTGTCTAGCACTTGTGAGACTGCATCTGGAGTACCATGTCCCATTTTCTGCTTCACATTACAAGATAGGCACTGACATACTGGACTGAGTCTAGTGAAGGGCCACAAAGATGATTAAAGGAAGGATGAAGCACATGACGTTCAAAGAGAGGCTAAAAGAACAGGGTTCGTTCAATCTTTAAGAAAAGGCTTTTGGGGGGGGGGGGGAAGAGGAAGAAAAGGAGAGTTAGGCACTGAAATCACATTGTTGTCCACAACATCCTAAGACATGGTATAGAGAAGACAGATTCTTCTCCAACGTGCTCAGCGGAAGACCAAGAAATAATGAACAGAAGTTGGAACAAAGGAAATTCTTGTTAGATATAAAGAAAAGAATTTCACCGTGAAGACTGTTAACCAAGTTGCCCAAGGAGGTATGGAATCTCCATGCTTGGATATATTCAAAATTTGACCGGATAAGGCTTTAGCCAGCCTTCCAAGTTGGCTCTGCTTCAGATGGAAAGAAAAATTTGGACTACAGAGCCAGAAGTCTTTTCTGATCTAGATTATTCTACAATTCTATGATTCTAGGTTTTCAAACATGCCAGGAAGAAGCGGTTCAAATCAAAATACTGGAGTTATCTATATGATAGCTAATAATTTCATGAATTGTCACCTTCTTCTATAGGGCACAGAATTCATACTAGTCTATCAGTTAGCGTTTCATCAATTATGTGACCCTATCTGAATAATAAAATATTATTATTGTCTGTACCTTCCTGATTAGGGAGAAGTTGTGCATATACAAGTGATAAGCACAGATAACAAAAACAATTTAACCCCAGTAGCAGAAGCCGCACAAAACTAGGCACTTATCAGACAGATATCTGATCATATTTTCTTTTGTTGCAGTACACTACGCAGTGCAGACATACATATATATATATATATGTATAAAAATATATATGTAAAACAAAGGATGAAGAATGCCATTCAAGCAAGCGATGTCATCTGCAGAATCCTTACTAGCTATAAAACGTAAGCTGAACATAAATAAGTCTAACACATAACCCTAATTAAACTTTCTCATTCTGTATGACAAGAAAGCACAACACACAAATTACTCTGAAGTGATAATTACCCTGGAAAGGAGTACTGTCTTCTGATAAAGCATTTAAATCTCCAGATGTTCCAGAAAGATTCTCTTGCCTCTGCTGCACGTTAAAAGGCAGCAAGGAATTCCAAGGGTGGCTCCAAATTCCATCTTCTGCACTGCCAGAAGACAATCCTGAAATAAAAAGGTAAAAGTTGACAGTTTTGCATATCGACCACTTGCAATCAACTCATCTGAAACCAATTCATATCCCAAAATACTCTCAACAGCTTTAGGGTTTTGTTTCTTTAACTCTCTCCTGTCAATTCTCCCACAAGCCTTCGCACAAATTGCCACAAATCTAAGCTGGTAATACAAAATCATACACTACTCGGTGAAATTTAGCCATTTTAGAGGAGGCAGACTTAGGAAATACTGAAACAATGAAATCAGAAAAAAAAATTATTTTATGCTAGCTATCATATTTATGTTTCCTGTTGCCGTTGCATATAAATATGTCAACCCTTTAACATCATCTCGAGTATCTTTATGATATAGCCAAAAAAGTTTATTCATTCGTTTACCAGAAAAAGTAATTATACACTCACCAAGTGTAACAGGAAAATACAGCTAGCCTCAAAAAATGTATTCATGCGCTAAGCAAATGAAGTGTTAAGGGAATTTTTTTCCACAACAAACCATCAACAAAAAAAGCAAAGCTGCAAGTGACAGCAAACGTTAAGAGCTTACCTTTGCTTTTTTATGTCAGTTACACACATGTTTGTCACATGAATTAGGAAGCTTCATATGCAGAAAATAAGTTACCAGTTTAGAAGATTAAAGTTAAAATAGAGGCCGAGTAGCTCAAAAAGTTAGTCTTTAAAAACTGATTTATACATATGGAATAACTCATATGCATATAAGTGCGTGTAAGATCAGACACAAGTCAGATTAAAACTTTTAATAAAATGGCATTATTTTCAAAAACAAGCTGATGCCATGTTAACATCGAATAATTTTCTGGGGAATGTATGTTTATAGCTTTTTTAGCCTCAGGTGAAGAGACAGACTGCAAGCAATCTTCTTATAAAATACAAAGAATCTTTATAATTCATTCCTCTGTATATCAAGCATTACCACTTGTGAACAAGGGAAGTGGATAGGACTAGTGTCTACGTTGAGACCTGTGGTTTTATTTACTTAAGATTTTCAGTTAAAACGTTAATACTGTGTTAATTACTGTAATTACGCAGATATCAGAACAATACTCTTAGCAGCAACAAAACAACTATATCTCTGTAACAACCTACAGTCTACAATGATTAGAAAACTTCCATCAGTATCTTCTGGGGGTTAAACTTCTTAAAATTTTGCCACCTGAAAATTTTCAGTGTTACAGTTGCTGACCAAGTCTCAGAATAACACACTGACTTTGGCAAAGGATATTAGGTTAAATTATCATGGAAGTCAAATCAACAAGCACAGAAAGCGTGTATTCCAGTTGCACTCTATTCTGCAGGCCACATTAACCATTCTTAAATTCCATACTAATCCTTAACAGAAGAACTTACTTCCAGTGATTTAGATCCACGCTCCTACAAAATAAGGTAAACGACACAATTTTCCATTGACCAAAAAAAAAAAAGTTTACCAGTGTCAGCCGGGCTTGCGTCCAATATTTCACTAGCCAAAAAGCTTCCAGTGGAAATTGTTGACGACAAATCACAGGGTCCTCCTTCCATGAAAGGCTCTGAACCTAAGTTTATGGGTACTACTTTAGAAAGTACTTCCTAGGGAAGAAATAACATATATAGTATCATATAGTCAGATATCCATAGTTCAAACTATGCAAAAAACATGCCTTTTATTCTGAGCTCAGTTCAAGTGTAGAAACCTTCATTTTTTTTTTTTAAATAGTCAGGCAAATACACGTTCATCATTGCTCAGTACAACACATTCACATCCAGTCTCAGACATCTCACTCCCCCACCCCCCAACACACATGCTCACACACTCACACACACTCTTATTAAGCTTCTCAGAATTGTGTACAAATCATAGCACCTGGAAGATTAGTTTTATCTTCTGGTGGTCAGATTTGGCTATTTCTCATCACAGACCCACTTCAGTAGAATTGTAGATCTCAGAGGAATACAGAGGCAATACATGAAAGACTCCAGAATTTCTCAAGTATTTGCAAGACTGTGCCTTTGGCATACAGGAGATGGACTTAAGTTTGTTTTAATTCTACTTTATGCATCCAAAAAATAACATCAAATATCACTGTCCTTAGTTTTGAGGGTAAGCTCTACAGAAAGTCACAAAACATGGAATGGGGGTTCTTATACTTCTGAGTTTACAGGGATGAGAAATGTCAACATTTCACTTTTCCCCCAATCTTTGGATTAAAGCATTACGGGAAAAGACAAACAAGCTAAGAAATCTAGCATTTTTTAATTATATACTACCTTTTTATATAAGTATAAAACCACTACTTTTGAAATACTACTACTATTTTATCTACTGACAAAATGACTGGATCTGCAGGTGTGGTAAGAGCACTAGATATCATTTACCTTGACTTTGGTAAGGCTTTCAACACTCCCAACACTCTCATACGTCAGTTTGCATGCTACAATCTGCACAGATGAACAACCAGATGGAGAAAACACTGGCTGGACAATCAGGGTCAGAGGATAGCGATGGGTCATGCTCTACCTGGAGGCAGGAACAAGTGGGGTCTATCCAGAGACCTGCCCTATTTAACATCTTTGACAATGACCTGGAAGAGGTGACAGAGTGCACTCTCATGTTGGCAGATGACATCAAGTCGGAGGGACACCAGCTGACACGCTTGAGGGCAGGGCAGACTTCCAGAGGGACCTCGTCAGACTGGAGAAGGGGCTTCCAAGAACATTATGAAACTCGGCAAGGACAAATGCAAAGTCCTGTACCTGGGAAGAAGGAACCCCCTGAAACAGTCCGGGCTGGGGACAGACTACCTGGTGAACAGCTCTGCAAAAAGGGACCCTGGAGTGTTTTGGCAGACAGTAAGATGAGCATGAGTCTGCAGCGTGCCCTGGCACTAATAAGGGTCAGCAGCATCCTGGGCTGTATGAACAGGAATATCTCCCAGTAGATCAAGGGAAGTGTTTATCCCCCTTCACTTGGTGCTTGCTACACTGCATCTAGAGTATTGCATCTAGAGTATTACATCTAGCTTTGGGCCCTTAACACAAGACAGATGTTGATCAGATAAGAAGAGTTCAGAAAAGAGCCACCAAGATGGTCAGAGGGTTGTGGGGCACTTGTCCCGTGAGGAGAGGCTAGGGCAGCTGGGCCTGTTCAGCGTGAAGAGACAGCTGGGAGGGGGCAGGCCTAACAGCAGCCTGCCAGTACCTACAAGGTTATCGAGAAGATGGAGCCAAGCTCTTCAGTGTTGCATGGCAGCAGGATGAGAGACAATGGACCTAGCTTGAAACAGCAGAGGCTCAGACTGGATATCAGTAGCAACCTCCTTCCACCAGGAGGACAGCCAAGCATTGCAACAGGCTGTTCAGAGAGGCTGTGCAATCTCCACTCTCGAAAGTTTTCGAAACCTGACTGGATAAATCCCAGAGCAACTTGGTCCGTTCTCACAGCTGACCCTGCTGTGAGCAAGCAGTTGGACTAGAGACCTCCCTAGGTCCCTTCCAGCCTGAATTATCCTATCATTCCAATAGCTCCATTCGTGTTTTTGAGCATTCTGGAAATATAAGATCCAATTCTCACAAACGCACATTCTTAAAGCCAACAAAAATATGGCATACTTTCATTTCTGCACACCATCTTCATATTCATATTTCAGATAAATACATCATGAAATAAAGAGTAGATTACATTATGTGGTTATTTTGATATGACTAACCATATCATGGAGTCTGAATGATGGTCCAGAATGTGTTATAACTCCACTTCCAATTTCAGGAGCAAGAACTGGCAAATCTTGAGCCACAGGAGAATCCTGGGACCAGGCTGAACAGAAATTCAATAGAAGCAGTCAGCAGTAGAAAACAACTTTGAGTTCAGAGTTAGCAACTTTTTTCTTTTTGAACACCAGATGGCAATAATACTCTATTGTTGCTTTCTTCACTGCATTGATTTTACCCGTGCTCACCCTTTCTTCTCACTTGTAATAAATACACTTTCTGCTTCACTGCAGCACTATGAGAACAACTCAGTTGGTAAACTGAGTGATTCTCCTTAACCAGCCTTTTGATGATTTCTAATTATCATGATTGCTTTCTGAAGAGTCTGTGGAAAGAGTAAAAACAAATGCTTTGCAGAAGGGAATATGGCTTTGGTAGTATCAACGTAACTATTTAGTTGGGGGGGGGGGCCTTTTACCCTCTACCATGGCAATAATTACAAAGAATAGTGCACATTCAAAGTAAATCAGAAACACTGAAATATCTCAGTGCAGCATGATTCCTCCTGCAGAACCAGTAAGATCATAATGCACTTACAAAAATAAGGATGTTCCATATCTGGGGAAAAAGCATTGCAGCAGCACCAGAAAAATGTAATGCGAGATAAAATTTCCTGCTGCAAATAACTCTAAAGCATTCTTTTCTTGAAAATTATTACTGGAAATTAAAATAAGCATTAAATATCAAGTAGAAATTGCAATTAAACAGTACAAGTTCATGTGTTTCCTCCCAATTCTACAGGGGCTGCTAATGAGAGAGACATTTCAAATTCCAAGCATTTCTAAGGCTCTGTCCTTCAGCAGATCTCAGAGTGTTTTGCTAATTCTAACACTAATTTGTAGGTTGCATAAACTGAAACTCGGGCTCCATCCTCTAGTAAGAAATTACATGTTCCATTTTTTCCTACTGTACAAATAAAGCAGGAGACATTTCCTCTGTAAGGCAACACGAGATAAGTATCCATATGGTGTGATACCTACACATCTCAATCAACATGAAACATTTTAAAATTGCTTTTTTTCCTTGAAATGAATCTGAGGTTTTTCTCCAGCTACTGTCATCTAGCACTCTCCTGGGAGAAAGTACAAGAAATGAAAGGAAATAACAGCTAAAATAAATATGTTGGGATTGAAAAGAGAAATTCATCTATTCTTAATTTATTATGTTTTTACCTTAAATGCTAACCGACAGATCGCCAAGTAAAGGGTAAAGAGAAACTATCAGACAGACTCCACCCCCACCAACAACTCTGCAGAAATTCCTAGTAGGCTTGATCCTGATCATTTATGACATTTTGCTCAGTAACTGAGCAGGCATCGGCAACAGAATTTTCAAATAAACGTGAAGACTGGAAGAACAATAAACAATCAGAGTAACAGTACAACTGCAAAAATTGTCTGATTCTCCAGCCAAGCTGGTCTGCTAAACAACACTGTTCCAAGATAGGTAAAATCATAGAGCCAAGAGCACAAAATAGTGGTTTCCGATTCATTTTCTGTAAGCGCCTGACAAAGCTCTCCAGGTTCTTGGGAAAAGACTTGAGGTCTGAGTACGACAGGTGACAAAGAGCTCCCTGGGGGTGTGCGGCAGTAGCACGACCGAGACTAGAAACACTGCAGAACTCTGTTCTTTGGATCAGAGCACAGCAGAGCTAGAGAGGGCCATGAAAATGACTGAGGCCTTGAAAAAAAAATTCCATCAGCAAAACTGCAGTCCTGTCATCTCTTGATATTTACATCTCCCCACTGGAAAAAAGATGCAAGAGACTTCTCAACTCAGAGGAACTAATGACAAGCAGCAGTGATTAGAAATAGCTGTACGGCATACTGAAAAAGGAAACAGAGCATTTACTTTAAAACGGGATAAAAAAAGAACACTGGAACAAGCTGCCACAGAAAGTAACCAATTCTCTATTTCTATACAATGTTGATTTAAAGATACCAAGTCTTCTGAAAGAAATGCTGTACTTTGCCAGATAAAGGGTATCGGAGTGACAGGTAATAATTTAGATTACAGAAGAGATTAAGTCATCTCATACTCTCTTGTAGTTAAACTCTATGAAGAGCTACGCTACAAATGCTTTATTACTACACAGTAATAACGTACACTGTTCTTGTGATATTAATACAAGAGATGAATAGTAGTAATTTCATGCTATAAGCCAAATTAATTACCGATTTCAGAGTGAAAATAAAACACACTTGTATCTCATGAGTTTATTATAATAGCCTTAAGAATTTAGTATTTGGTGGCTCAAAGGAGGCTTATTTCTTCCCCATCCAAAACAACAATGCAACATTCTTGCTCGGCACCACTGACTTCTAGATGAGACTTTCATATTTTAACCTCCTGGCCACCATGCTGGGACAAACAATCCATATTAAAAGACTGAGGCTGCATATCCAGAATGCAATTTACTCAACAGAAATTGCAGTAAGATAGCAGCAATTATTTTGGGGTGCAATTTAGAAGATAAAAGCCTGAACAACAAATCACTTGAAGGTAATGAAAAAACAGGGATTAGTTCAAAGCCAACGAGGGATACAAACAGAGAAGAACTATGTCAACAGATGTACTCCACCCTAGTTTGCTATATTGACAATAGATAAGACAATCTGTTGCAACACTGCATTATGGACAAATACTGAGGACGAAGAAAAATAAATTGAAATCTTTGGGGGTTTTTTGTCTGATCCAGGCTAACCTGTCACGCATGGAGTAACACCTCTGTTTAGGGTGGCAATACATGAAGACAATCACATCTGCTCAAGGGGACTGTTAAAGAGGAAGATGAATACCGAGGGAGAGGTTTATTGGTACGCAAGGCAGAACTGTGAAAGCAGATGTATATATCAAATCTAGTCACTATCTCCAGATTGATTACGGAAATGAGGCTTATGCAATCAAACTGCCTTAGCCTTCACTTAACGTGTCTTTCTGGGGAAATCGAGGTACTTCTGTCACATACGGACAAAGCCTACCCTCAGAGGTGCAATCTCTGATAAAAGCTCTTCGTAAGATAAGAGAGACCAGAACTAGAGTAATCCTTGCATTACTGCAACATTCTTCTGTCATAGCCAACAGCCAATTCCTTCAATAACGTTTCTTCGAGCTAAGGTTAAGACTTGGCTTCCTGTTTTTTGCCTCGATTACGATTTTTTTTTAAAAGGAATTTCAAAGGTGTGTCTACGTCTACATTAGCACTTTAGCACTCCAGAGTTCTGTTATAGCATGAATTTGCCTTTTGTCTGCACAAGGAGTCATTGGTTACTGACTTGGGCACACCACCAGCCTGCTCAAAGGATTTTCGTACTCGGTGAAGCCAATGTTGAAACTGCACGAGAGTAACATCCAGAGCTGCCCACGAGCAGTCTGGACAGAAGGTATCAGCCTCAGGAGGAAAACACATCATCTGCAACACTCTCCAGCTGTTTGCTCCCTATCCAGGCGTGGGATTTTGTTTGCAATGGCAAAGCAGTCAGGTGATACAAAGCAGATTTCTTTACAGACAACACTGCTAGATACAGATACAAAGCACCTACCCTGGATGAGCGGTAGCTAACTGGCAATGAAGTTCACTCCAATGGAGACACACGTTACAAGAACGGTAATGGATCAGAAAAAAGCAACCCCTCAGTACTTCTGAGACTTACGCTTATTAAAACACCTCTTTTTACACTTAAAATTGAACAGTATTTAAATAGCGCTGCCCAATCTTTAGCAAGTCAGATCAAACACAATAAATAAATAGTAGCAAAATTAGCAATATTTAATGGTACTCATATAATTCCTCAAAGGAAGAGGATTTGCTCACCTGGATCATATGATTTTTCAGTCATCAGTATCTCTTTTAATAACCTACTTGACTGCTTATTTTCCCTTGGACTTTCACTAGGGATTTGTTCTTCACGGTTTGTTACGCTCCCAGGTAACCTGCCATCTTTGTGAACAGCACGATTGTAACAGCTAACACATGCAGACTCCCCAACAGCTGAAATGGGAGAAGATTCTCCACCAGCAGAATCTACTTTATCTGAGTTTAAAACATTTGTAACCCGCTTAAGTATAGAAATGCAGTGTTTTGCACTTCATGAAAGACCGTGTTAAGATGCACACACTATTCCAAAGAAATAATTTAGTGAATTTGTACAGTTCTCTATTTTAATAAAGCTAACCATTCAGGCAATGAAAACCTCTGTATAACAGTTTAGATGCAGATTTTACAGGTCACAGGACTTCTCAAAAAGTAATTCTTAAACTAAATTATTCTGCCCTCTCCCCCAAAAATCAAACCCAACAAGTTTTCCATACAGTAACTCCATCAAAACTTTTGGTGATTTCACTAGTGGTCAGTTTCATTCCTTCATTAGCCAGGAAGACGTCATAAGCACATTTTTATTACCTGAGTAACTATATGGAGACTGTAATAGCTCAACATAGCTGATTCCACTAATTCTCTTGATAGGGTATATTTTTAAATTCATGAGTCATTCTCATGGTTATTCTTTGAAACTTCTTTTTTTTTTTTTTTTGCAATAACCTGTTTGAAATGTTGACACCGTCACCAAGTTCATTTCAGAAGCAACTGCATCATTACCGAATCCAGAGACAATATAACTTCTCTGCTCTAGGTCCAGGTTTCTCTCATTTGTACAACCACAGATCACAATAATCCCTTCTTGCCATAGAATCACATTAAAAACTTCAAGTGTAGTTTATTATCTACCATGACCAATGGTTAAATAACAGAGGAATAAAAACACCTGTTGATCACAAAAGGCTTACTCACCAAACAAGTATTCCCAACTCTAGAACTCTATTGGGCAATTTGTCAGAAAAATCTTTGGTAGGTAATTTTTATGTTTTAATCAAAACGTGTGCTACTAAGCCAAGCGCAGTATGAGTGTGCAAATGTATTTCAAACAAACACATTGCCAACTGGAACCTTTTATCTAATCAAGGTATCAAATTGGTTTGACAAGAATTACTCTGCATAAACTGATGCTGACTAGCTTTAATTACTTGTCTTTAATTAAGAAAAGTCCCATATCAGCTGTTTCATTATTCTGCTCAAGATCAATGCCAGCCTGGCAGGTCTGTAATTACTTGGGTTGTTCTGCTTACCATTTTAAAAACACTGGCACAACACAAACTCCCTAAAACATGCAAAGAATTGTAGCTGTGAAGAGACCTTCCCCCCCCGCCCCGCTTCCTCAAGGGAAAAAAAAAGTTAAATGTTTATATTTAGAAAATATTATTTTGTTGTACATCTTAGACAGTGTTGCACAGAATTCTAAAACAATGCACACATACTTATAGCTATTACCACCTTCTATAAAGTTGTTCTTCAAAATTGTTACAAAGATCGTTTTGTAATTGAAAAAATTAAAGAGCTCTTTCAGAAAAAAAGTTTCTGTAGCCACTTGATACTAACTCCTTGCTTAAAAGGTTTCACATTCGCACTCTAGGTGTGCTCCAAATCTTTAAATACCCTTCCCTCAACTCCGATGATTCTCTTTTCAATTAATAGATATATTTACACATATCTGATTAAATCCTCAAATTAAATAGGGCATGAATAGTTACATTCACTGTACACATTGAGTCCAGAATACATAATCTTTACTCTGAAAGGAATTCTAAACAAAGATCCTGCTCATTTCATTATACAGAGGGGAGGGAAAAACAAGTTAAGTACTGGAATTACGGTGAATTTCCTTTTTAGTGAGTGTTTTGACTCTGCTTTTCTAGATATATACCTGATAGAATAAGTTTTTTGCAACTATAACTCAGAGTTTGCTGGAATATAAAAAAATTATGCCATAGTAAAGGCAACAGTATCAGCAAATATTTCATGATCAATCACCTTACACACTCTGAAGAATAGTTTGTTTTTTTTTGTTCTCCAACCTGTACTTCTCAGAACAAAGAACATAATACATATCTTACCTTCAAAAGAAATGTTGCAGCTCCTCGGTGTGTCTATTTCTGGTATAACACTAAGTTCATGTTGTTCTAAATCAAGCCCTAACCTGACTTTTGTCAGAGGTGGTCTGGAAGATCTCCACTTCTGTTCTTTATATTCAAACTTCTTAGGCTGCTCTGTAAAATAAAGTTGTGTGTTTTAAATTCCCCTAGCACGCTGCAATAACATACCTTTTGAATTTGCTTTGGGAGATGGGAGAGAACTCCATCTCAACTGAAAAAATGAGAAAAATTATTATAATGAAAGATATTACACAGCCCTACCAGTTTGTCCAGTTGGACTGATGCATTGTGAAATCATTTCATTTTCATGAAATTCACTCGTATCACAGTTCTCTTGATGGCAGTTTTCTGAGCCTTGCAAAAAGTCAGTCATATTAATACAGTCAGGCTTTTCTGCCTGTGTCCCTTCTTTGTTTGTGCTGGAATGTCTTACCTTAAAAGGAAAAAAAAAAAGAAAAAGAAACTATATTTATACTCATTTATTAAATCGGCGATCCTTTTTGAGTATTCCACGAATTGTCGATGATAATATTGAGTATTTTGAGAGAAATTCAAGAACGCGAGGTACTGGACAGACTCCTTCACCTTATAAAAGCATTTGGACATGTAATTATTTCATTTAGCTCTACAGACCTAATTTACTAAAATCTGATTAGTTATATATTAAAGGCCTTTGCTAGATTAGATTAGAATAACCAGTATTTTTAATAGGACTGTTTCTTGAAACGTCTGCTTTGTTTTCCATTACTGACATCAGGAATTTTAGCTGTCGGAAGACAGCAGATGATGAGGACAGGACAGGGATTGAAGACAGTTTTTTTTCTAAGATACCTTCAGTTAAAAACAGAGAGGCAGAAGGAGCTTCTTTAGGAATAAGTTTGCAACTCAAAAATAAACTTGTTTTTTCTCCTAGAAATAAGTGAATAAGTACAAGAAATACAAAAGAATAAATACAGAAGTAAGCAAAAGTACAGGTTGAGTGTAACTGCCAAATCAATTTCCCTGTTTGTACATGTAAAAAAGACAGAACCTCTTTTTTTTTTTTTAAACTGTCTGTTCAAAATGCTTAGTATATCCTCAAGGAATTATTTAAAGATTTTTAAATAAGAGCTGTTTTACACACCAGCTGCACTTCTGGAGTTGATGAAAACTATGCCTGCTTGTATGGTACTTCAGACAATGCAACTGTTTCAATAAACATTACATTCAGAAACCAAATATACAGAAGTTTCTGTAAAATTTCTGTTAAACTGAACAAAACAGCTCTCATGAAACAGAGCTACTGATTACAAATCAGAAGTCCTAATTCAAATTTTCATTTTGGCAAATGATAAAGTATCAACACTCCACAGGATACTCTACTGCTTGGTAGAGTGCGCTCTAAGTTTGACCACCTACTAGCAGGTGATTCACCACGCATCATTTATAAGTCTTACCTGCTTGTTCAGAATTTCTTTCAAAGCCTCTTGCTGTCTCTGCATTTGTTCCTTCAATTTATCCTGCTTCCTTATAAGTAGTTGTTCTTGTATTTTTTGTCTAGAAAGAAGAGCTTCTCTTTGTGCATCTAGCTGCTCCTGCAGTTCTTTCAAATACTTTTGCTGAGCTTGGATGCTCTCTGACGAGGCCAATACTCTATCCCTTAAATTTAGTACATTAGAATAATTTAACAAAGATGCATCTCCACTTTTTGATATCAACATCTCCGGAACACCCTGGGCTTTAGGTTCTTCCTCAGATAAAGTCACAGGCTGAAAAAGAGAGGGGGGTTGTTCAAAGCTTGTTTGGATACTGTTCTCTGCAGATCCCTGCCGGTACTCCAAAGAATCACTTGAGGCTGCCTGAGCTATCCAAGATCTCTTTGTTGGTAAAAGGGATACCGTAACCGGAGGCTCTTCTATAGCTTCTGTCTCTGTTTGATGCTTTGACACCTTCTGAGATAATGACTCCTTATCAAACCCAACTGTTTGTGAAAGCTCAGCAGAATATTTTGCAGGCAAAATAAATCTAGCCTGTGGTATGTGGGCTTCTGGTTGCATCGTGACAGTGGGGACATCTTGCAAAGCCATAACTAACCCTGACGGTATCTCAAACAGAGATGAATCTCTGACTTGAGTATTGGAGGTTTCCAACATTCCCACTTGTTCCTGTGGAGGAGAGCTACATGGCAAATGAACTGCTGCTTGACTCAATTTTGATGTTTCTAAAAACTGCACATGTCTACCAGGACAAACATCATGCACTTCCTCTTCATGTTTCTGTGAAGATGGTTTTTCCAACACATGCGGCGCTCCTGAAAACATAGGTAGGGACTGGCTATACTCTTGTGCATGAACTTGTTCAGACAACTGGTGTTGTGTTGGATGTACTCCTTGCTTCTTTAGGACAGGTTCAGAGGCAGACTTTAAATTAACTGATTTCGTTTCTGCAGAACTTAAAAGTGTTACAGGAATACTTGGGTATCTTTGCTTCCATTTATTCTGATACTCCTGTAGACACTTTCTAGCTTCTTCAACAGTCTGTTTATGCGGCCTAAATAGAATAAAAATATGCATCTTTCCTAAGCGGTGCAAAGAAACAGCAGTTTCGATAATAAAATAATTTCAAAATTACTTTGAAATGGTCAGCTTAGACTTCCATTTCATACCGAAACTTACCTGTTTTGCTCTAGAAGACGTTGTTGATAACTACGAATCACCTGTAAATGAGTGACTTCTCTGGGACTTCCATTTCTTGGCACCTCAGTAGTTCCAGTCTAATCAAAATTAAATAATTTTAAGTGGAAATGTGCAAATAATTCCCAAAAAAGCTATTAAAGCAACATTAATCTTAAGCAGTATGTTATTTCTCCTCCTAAGCCTACAGGGGATACTCTGTACCACTGTTTGTCTCTAGGACTATGCAGAGATATCATTGGTCTTTGGATATTGGGTTATCACATGAAATAAGCGCTTCTACTTCAGCCAAAAGGAAGCTTTTGTATGCAGGAACTTTTGACTCATGGCCTGAGAATCTAAAAAGAAATCTTGATTGTTAAAATTTAAAGTGGGAAATTCGCTCTCTGGATTTTTATTACTAAAGAAAAAACACTTTTAAGATACTTCACCTCATGTTCCCCCTCCTTCTGTTCGTCTGTGAAAGGACTGATGCTGCTTTGTACCAGTTCAGCTTTCTCCTCTTTTTCTTTTTTCTTAACCTCCTCCAAACAGCTTTGCATTTGGATCTTGAGAAAATCAGCCTCCAGACATGCTCTCTTTTCTTCAATTTGTTTAAGTAAAGCCAGCTGTTCCTGTTTCTGTTGCTCTATTTGTTCATTCTATTGAAAAGAAAGGAGGGTGAATCTCCAGAAATGAATAAAAAAAAGAAAAGAAAAAAAGGCTGTCACAAATTACAATAAAATTTCTACTGTAAAAGGCATTTCCCAAACTGTAAGAGGAGTTAAAAAAAAGCTCCAAGACTTACAAAAATAATTTATTCGGCCAGCTAAATAGTCTTAATAGTCTCTGAACACATAACATTATACTACCCACTCACTATTGCAGAGTTATCTGCTATCAAATTAGTAGAATCAAATCAGAATTTAAGCACTGAAGATACATTACAATTTTCCAGAGACTTCAAAGCTGTTCTCTTTTTTAGATTGAATCTGGAAGTCTGTTTTGCATTTTACAGAGCTTCTCATCAGGAGTTAAAAGCATTTAAATATTAATTCAAGTCTCACAATATTTATGAAATAGCTAATATAAAAACAATTTAAGAGCATTCCATAAATATGCAAAATGGTTTGCTTATTTTTATTTTCTTTCCAAGTTATTTATTAGCTACAAATCACTGATGCATCCAGGCACAGCAACAGTATACTACTTTTGGAAAGGAAGTGAAAAAAATTCAAAGTGCTGGCAAAGACGAACGGGACAACAGATTAATATACTGAAGCGATTCTGAGACACTGAATGATCACTTTTGGGCTTCACTTCTGTAGCTCCTGTAGTTCACTAAAAATGGAGAAATGACAGCTTTTGTGCATTTACCTGTTAATATTTATATTTAATTTGCCAAGGAATACAAACTCAGGCTCTGTTAGCATAAGATATCTTATATGTAGTGTAAGATAATTAGACTGCAATGGATGAAGTTTTATTGAATACCTGCCGTGAGGCAGTCAGAACGAGGACCAGAGAAATGGCAACCTGAGAAAAAGTTCACCCTGAAAACTGTTATGTGAGCCTAGCAACCTGTAGCTGGGGGTGAAGAGCGGGAGAAAATTGCCATTAAAGGTGGTAGCCATACTTTCAGGGATGATCGATTGCATTTTTTTTTCTTTACTAAAATAATAACATTTCAAATTTTTACCTTTCCTGACTCACTGAATTTTAACTCTACAGTTTAAGGTAGCATTAAGACCTAAATTAATTCCCCCCCCTTTTTTTTTTTTTTTTTAAATGATGAATCCCTACATAAGTTGTAAATCTAGGATACAATGAAATATAGAAAGTTTTTATATAAACTTATTACCCAAACATAATAAATATATCATTCAAAAAGACTTAAGTTTTCGCATTTGCTTTTTTTAAGTAATAAGGAGACAAACTATTCGAGGTTTGTAGGCTTTTTCTATCATCACTCTAGACAACCCCAGAAACCTTATTATGTTATTATGCAGGCTTAAAGTTTTCACATAATTGTGTATTGTTGACTACCATCCTCTCTAAAGCAAATATATTAACCCACACTTAGGATTCTAATATTTTCATAGGGCAGCACCCCTTGGCTATAGCAGTTGCTAGATTTTAAAAAGCAGTTTTTTTCCCCCCCACACTGTTCTAAGCTCCAACTAGAGCTCAGTGATTTTAAAAAAGCTGACAATACACAGAGATGAAGCAGAGAAAACATTACAGTAAGAATTTATGTAAGAGATAGAAGCATGTTAAAAGGGACTATGGCTGTTTTATAACCCGAAACATTTTATCAGTCTTCTGTAAATCACTTATATCGCATCTGAGATGGGGAGAACCCTCACACGTATATACACACACTTACCCATTTTTGTCTTTCCTCTTCCATTCTAATTTTAGCTGCTTGCTCCTGAGGATGAATTAGAACTGATTTTTCAGCTACAACTGTATCTTCCAACATTTCCACGGGGTCTGAAACATACATGTTATTTAACTGTAAGTACAGTCAGAGAGGACAATATTGCTCACATTGAGATTTGAAAGCATAAGACTGCTACCTGGAACATAAACTTCAGCTTGGAATCAACTTCCATTACCAAATTCATAAAACTATTCTAGAAATTAACATCTTCTTCTATTTCCAGCTGCTACAGAGAAAGCAACAATAGTTACATCTCAAAAGCCAGGCCCTGGATCTTTCTTACGTCTTCCTTTAGACTGTCATAACCTCTCTAAACAAAACATATAAGCAGCTCTTGAAAAGATTCCCATCTCTATCCCACTCTGCCTGTCTCAGCGAGCTGGAGAATTAGATTTTTGTATTATTTAAGCCCTTGCTGGCCCTTTATCATGTGCCTTTGATATACAACATGGCCCATCTCCAAAGGATGGAAGATTGCTTCTAACCAGATTATTTAGTAGCCTACTAGCAAGATCATTCGGAGGAACAAAAGACCTAAGTTAACCTCTTGGAATAAAGAGGGCAGAGAGTGTGGCGCTCTATAGACGAATGATCTAAAATCTGGTATTCTCACAAAAAGCAGACATTCATCCCATACTGCCAACTTAAAATATCAGTACATCTTCCCTACAGGCAAAGGCAAGCTAAACGTTTGTTTTCACGCATGCTGCACTCTGCAATGCCCACAAATTATTCTAGTGTATCCACATGCATATGACTGGAGTAAGTTGCTAGGTCTGATCAAAAAAAAAAATAATAATAATCCAGGATTTCAGACACATTTTTGTCCTGAGCATTTCCAGTTGTGAATCTCTGAAGCATCTAGCTTTTCCACATCAACTGGTATAGAGCTTTAATGCCAGTTTCGCACTGTGAATTCTGCTCCTGGAGGTAAACATCTACTAAAGCATGGCACCATCACGTATGATAAAAATTTGGGCAAGATTTACAAAGTGCAAAGGTATTTTGGAGACCTCTGCTCCAGATGATCTTTATGGGCAAGACAAACAAAAAAGTAAAAAACTCTCCAATTTACTGTTTCAACAAAATGCAAAGCATTGGAAATAGGGAGAGGAGAATTGTATTCGCTTTCTTGTGACATGGTGAAACAACAACATTAAAAATTCATTAAACAGCTTTGCTCTGCTCTACTTCCATAGCTTTTTTTGGTTCCTTAAAAAAATGTTTTGAGGCAAGTACCTACCACATACCTTTGGTTTCAGATACCGAATTTTTACATTGTTCATGGTTAAGTTCTAAATCACATAATCGTCTCTCTTCACTAGCAATTGTGCCTGATTCAATAGTCTCCAATTCACTTTGACTCGCTCTCTCACTTTTTGATGTCCATTCTTCTTTTTGGCTTCTAATCTTGTTCAACAACTTATTTAAGGCAAGTTTGGACTGAGGTTGGTGAATTCTTCCTTCTCCATGATCTAGGAGGAATACACACCTTTAAGAGTTTTGGGTAATGATCATCTTAGTGTCCAAAAAACTCATTCATTCTTTTAATTGCTTACATAGTTGGACAAACAGCTCAGGCATATTATCAAGTTTTCAAAGCTTAGTAAGTTATTTTTCTTAGCTGGAAGAGATGAGCAGTGATTTGACTCGGCACACCATAAAAGGAGGGCTAAGGCAAACACAGCGTTTTGCAGTCAAACTAAACCTAGTCTATACTGTTGAAGAAAGAGGCAGTACTTTCTCCCCTTTCACCTTTGCCTGTATGTTCCTGCCCTCTCTACTGTATTAGCACTAGCAACACAACCCATCACACAGGCCAAAAATGAGTAGTGCCAACAAACAGATGTGGCAGACACGTTTGGCAAAGGAGCAAAGTTCATTAAACACACCTCTTGTTCACATTAGGTTTCCCTGTACATGCCACAAAGCAAACAGTACACATACATGCACTATTGCAGTTTACTCACAAGCTGAGGTAACTCGGTCATGAACCAGAACATAAAGGACAGACAATAAGTTAACTTTCATACAAAGTCAAGCTTTATCTTTGAAATGTTTCAAAACAAATGAAAAAAATATTTAAGCTTATATACCAGCTTCAATCCATAATATACACTAACTACATAGGAACCCTTATAGCTACTAAAAGCGGAGGTTTACAAAAATTAAAAACTATTCTCAGTATAATAATGAACTGCAACATCTAAGAAAAAAGTCACATTTCAATTCTTAATTCATATTTGTTAGATTATCATCCCCGATAAACACGATAAACTACTTCATACTGAAATACTCCATAGTCAGTGAAGCACTTAGTAGTTAAATACTTTAATTAATATTGAAAAGAAGCTAATTGATATATTATACCAAAACTTCCTTTCCACTATGAATCCAAAAAGTTTAACTTAAAGTTTAAAAGCTTTACTTTCTGATTCCTCAGGAACTTCCGCTTCTATCACCTCTTTCAATTCTTGTCGAGCATCACAAGCAGATTCTTGCTCCAAAGTGATATCAAGTTCATTATCTTGAGCTCTGTCAGAAGGGGCTGGTAAAGGTTGTGGCTCAAACTGCAAAATCAGGTCTCCTTTCATTTCTAATTAAAGGAGAATAACCACAAAATGACCAATTGGAATAAAAAAAAAACAAACAACATTACAAGACTACACTCATTATGCAAATTCCTAAGAAGTTCCAACATCAACAGTTTTTTCAGAACAGATTTAATCCAATTTTTTTTCCAAATACAAGACTTGCAAAGTTGAGACTGTTTAGTTCTTTAGCCATCTCTTGCATTTAGGATTCTACAGTGTCTTCCACTAACAAATGCTAAATTCTTCAAAATAAAAGATATTTGATAAAAGGCTTGTCTCCGCACAACGCAGTACACAGGAGCAATGACAAGCAGGAGGATCCCAATAACCTGATCAGAGAAATGGAGCACCCTGACACCCCATTGCTCCAGGCTATAACAGAAGAGCAGTCAGCTCAGTCATCTAGGTTTCAAACTCATCAAGACAAGTCAATGGCAGAGAGTCTCCCAGCTTTACGATACACACAGAGCAAGTTACTGCCTAGAGGACTCACAGGATGCTGAGGAAGAGCATCTTGGAATTGTACAAGACTTCGTATGGGATGTTTTGGGGAGGAACCAAAGACTAGGAAAGGGACATATCAAGACAGTTTGGGTGGAACAAGCATGGGCGAATAGAAGGACAAGGGAATAAAAGGGGCTGGTCCCCTGTAAACAGGGGCTAGTCAGTGTACTTGTCTCTCCATGCCCTGTGCCTCATCAGTCTGTCCTGTCTTCTCATTAAACTCCATTTCTAGCGATTTTCCTGGGTGAGGCACTCTACTCTGTGTGCATGTGTACATATGGAGGTCTAAGCGAGAGCAGCTGCACTGGGGACCATGAATCCTAGGGGCCTATGGGTCCGGGGTGCCAATACCTGCAGAGACCAGAGTACATACAGTGTGGGTGGGCATGTCTGTGCAATCACTACCACATATCAAGCTGCATCAGGCAACGGGTAGGAGAAGCAGCTTGGGAGAGAGGTATCAAAGCAGCACTAAGTCTGGGTCAGATACCAGAAAGTCCAGAGGGTTGAGAGTTGGCTACTGGAAGGACCAGGAGGTCCGAGCCAGCTATGGTGGAAATTATGGGTCTGGCAGTCAATTGAGACACCTGCTGGCAACATGTGCCTGTAGTAACTGGAGATAAGAGGATCCAAGGGGTCAGCTGCTCAGTAAATGGAGAGTGTAAAGCCAGTTACTGCAGGAATCCATAGTGTGTGGTGTGTGTTTGTGCACATGTTTGTGCATGCAAGGCGGGGGTCTGTACGCCAGCAGGCCTCAGGGGTTTGCATGCCCAGGTACCAGCAACTGGGGAGACCAAGGATTCAGGATCAGGTGCTGGGTAGACTGAGCTTCTAACTACAGTTACTGGGAGATCCAGTTCACATATTTGTAGGTGCCAGTGTGCATGTGGGTGTGCAAGGTAACTGGAAAGCCGGGGGGTCCTGGGCTAGCTACTGGACAGACTGAGTGTCTAAGGCCAGTTACTGGAGGTGCCCAGATAGGGGCGGGGGAAGGGGTGGGACAGGGATGCATATCTGTAACTCAATACAAACACTTGGAGAGGGGCTGCAGGCCTTGAGGGCTTATATGTTCTGGTGACAGTAACTGGGGAGACCTGCGCAGCTACTGGATAGACTGACCAAGACCAACTGCTGGAGGGATCCATATTGATGTATGCACATCAATTTCCCAATAATACACCTTCATCCTGATCAGCCTGAGCAAGGAACAGGATGAGGCATTGGCGCTACTGTGCTTGTGCGAGTGCTATGCTTTCTGTGTTGGTCCATGTGGCCAGCCCTGTGCATATGTTTATATGTATTGTACATGCATCCTTCTACATGTGCCTACTGGAAACACGTGTTCAACCTTGCTACTGGCTGGGCCTGGGAAACACGGAGCTGCAGTCTCACCTCTATTGGGATACTGGAACCCCCAGCAACCCCCAGATAACTTACTCCTGTCTTCATTGTACATGTCTTCAAAAGCAAACTCCAATTCCTTCTGCCAGTCGTCTTTTATTTCCAGTCGTTTGTATGCAGGTACAAACAGTTGAGGTGGCATCTGTGCTACAACCCGTCTCCTGCGCATGCGATCCATAGTCTGCATTTGTTCAAGTTCTCTCAATAGCCTTTCCCTGTCCTTCAAGAAAAAACACAAAAGTGATCTCTTAAAAATTTAGCATTCACATTCAGACAGCAATACATCAGAACTCAAAATACTTCAATTTTGTTACTATGAAGTTTAATTCTTTATAAGTTAACATCATTCTGGGAGAAGGCACTCCCTGACTTAAAATACTGTACTTAATCTTTAATACACAAGAGTCATCAACACTACCCAACACATCTGATGTTAAATACAGAATAGATCGTACACTAGTAGGGCAACTTTCCTAAATAAAACAAGATGATTTAGTTCCCCTTTATAAAAAGTATTTCCTTTGTAAAGTTATTTTTTTAGCATGCACACATCAGCATCTTTTTAATAAGTGGGCTAACAGTCTTTGTGTATTATGATGATACATGAAACCTATTAGAAAAAAAAATCATTTGAAGTTTGTTTTCTTCTGTTAACTTAAGGAACATCAGTAACTCAATTTCCACAGTTCCCAGTTTTAGTTACACGACTCATTCAGGGCCTCTCATATCTCAACTAAGAAATAGGAAACTTTTGCTATTTCTAGCCTCCAGAAAATATTTATAAAGGTAACAGACAACGAAGCAAACTTCAGAATGCTCCTCTGGGTACAAAGACCCTTCTTGAGAGTTCAGATTTTACTGATTCGGATTTTTTTTTTTATTTTTTGGGGGTGGGGGGAGGCGGAATCAAATATTTTCATACTTTTGAATTAACAGAACCTGAATTAAGAAATTCAAAGTATTTTGCAAAATAAATGAGTTGAATTCTTAAGAAATAAACCAAATTCTTCCCTGAAGCACAGAAAACTCCTACTAAAACAAGTACGAAAAAGCACGGTTCACCAGCCCTTAATGAATTTGATCATGAATTTAGCCAGCTGGATAATATTTGGTCATATGTTAAGTCAACAAAAATTAAAGGACATTCTTCTAAATGATGATCTTAATCTGTGTGCTTTCATCCTCTCTCAGTAAAAAAAAAAATGACTACCTACTTCCTCCTCACAGAACTGCTGTGAATAAAGTTTTCACTGAATCTTTGGGAAACTCTCGGATGCTTTGAAAAGCACAATGGGAGAGTCATGACAAAACTGGATATGGCAGCTCTGGAAGAAGGGTACATATGTAAAAGTATGCCCTTCCATTGCACAAACAGCATATTCCAAGGAGACTCTCTGCATTGTTCTATAAATTGACTATGCCCACTGCTCCAGAGAGCACTCTCCAGAAGTCCATGGAATTGCGATGAGTAAGTTCTGGCTTACTGGCATCTCTTGCCCTCTTTTGTAATAACAGCTCCTTCTACCTTTTATCTAGACAGACTGGAAGATGCACGAACCCACAAATAAATGTTCTGAATATTTCAAATGTTTATGTGAGCAGAATTAGATGTGAAGGAGGGAGAAGGACTAATGATCATGTCTATAGGTTTCAATTTTCTCAAATGCACACAAGTGATTTAGGCTGACTGATAAGAGATGCTTTTGAAAATGTTACCCTTCTATTCTGGTTATAATTTAAAATTATAACACAACTCTTCTTCAACCTCCCGTAGGTATAAAGTAAATAAGTTCTTAAAACAGCTCCAAGAACAGTTGAAGAGAAGACTCTGAAATGCTTGCTCCTCTAATACAGAATTACGAACTATCTAAGTACTTTAAACAGTTAATTCACAAGCAAAGCATTCAAGCTCAGAAACTCCTTTAAATAAAAAAAAATGATCAGGAGACAAAACAAATCCTGGAGTACGGAGTTTACAGTTTTGTAAAGCATTCTTTTTGTCATTTAAAGGTAAAACCACTTCCTGTTCTACCACACATTTAAAAAACAAACAAAAACCCAAGTTTTCCACTTCTACTTTTCAACAAATCAACGCAGTAGACCACTTGACACCTGCTAACTTAAAAGAAGAACAAGTTTACCCATCTCAAATACTTAAAAGACACAGCAATACTAGTTTCTGTAAGAGCTGTGGCATTGCATACAAAAACCAAGTTACCTGCAACGTCTATTCTGCTTCCAACTGGATTTCCAATTCATCTTCGTCAAAAAATTCCTACCTTGTAAACTTTTAGACAGCCAAAAATAAGTAAATGGAGTTGTTTTTTTTTTTTAAACAACACTTTGAAAACATCAATTAGTCCATCAATTTTCCTCCTAAATTTATTCAGTCATCAGTTACCTATAGGCTACCTAACTCCAGCTGTCCCAACAAACAGACAATTTCTATTTTGCTTACCTGAGCCAAACGGACCTTCTTCAAGGCATGATTTCCTCTCAGATGTGCCTTTTCAAGCTGCTCTCTTCTATCCCTCTCCTCCTCTCTGTGTAGTTCCTCCAGACGCTTCACTTCCTCTTCAGCAACTAACCGAGCATCTGGCTGGCAGTGAATCAATAATAGTTTAGTCAAAGTTCTTTGTGGTAATTTAAAACATATACAACAATAAATGAGTAAGTCTGCATCAAAAACTTATAATGCCATTTGAATACCCTCTAAAGTCTATAGTTCTTTTGCAAAAAAGAACCAAACGGGCTTTATACCTTTGGGGGAAAAAAAAAAGGCGTAATTACACATTGCACCTGTAAGTCTTTCATTCTAATGTGCCAGATTTTAAACTCTGGAGTTTCCAACTCTGTTCTGGATTTTTTTTTTTTTTTAATATATGTGTGGTTTTTTCCTTCAATACAAGGTAAAATTAATACAAAAGATATGACAGACTGACTACTTTTATCTTTATGGTTTTAAGAAGAAAAATATCCACAAATGTTTTCATTCTTATTTGGAAAACCAGAAACATTCTGTGATTTTTAAATAAAGATCTTGTTAATGTTTGAGAATTAAAAAAAGGCATAAGAAAAAAATCCTTAGATGCAAGCAAGGCTTTACAGATTGATATTTTGGAATTTTCAGATAAGCTGAGGAAATTGCAGTATCTACTCTTTGTTTACACCTAACTTTTCAAACACTGATCAAAACCTAACACTGTGAAAGGAAACAGTGCCAGTGAGCACAAAGGAAACATTCAAAGACTGATTTATTGAGCGCACATATAGCTTTTCCAGTCTAGAAGAGGCCGATTCAGAACAAGAACTTAGACCGTGGTCTCACATCACATCTCAAAGCTAAGCTCTTAATAAACTTCCTTTCTCACTTCTCCAAGTCCTCCTGTTCTCCTGAGCTGACTTTGGCCCTCGTCCGATTGTACTGTAACTTGAGTAAACTTTCCCATCTGGCAAAAAACTATTCATATTTCTTTTCTCAAATTAGATCTCCGCCATTTTCACAAGCTCAGTCAGTTGACTGCAAACACGTGAGCACCAAAATGACGTAAGAAACAGAGTACACAGCTAGAAGGGAAGAAAAAAAATAGGGTAGCCACAACTGCCAATTTAGCATAAGCCATCAAGTGAAAGATTCAGATGCCCTAACCTTGTGAACTCTTCATCTTAAAAAAGCATATCTATGCGGGAAAGACTGTCAAATCTGATCTTGCATGTAACTGAACATGTAATAGGCCTTACAAGTTTCCTATCATCTAAAATTCTGATTAGTTAACAAGTCATCTAATGGCTGCTTTATAACAAGTCCCTATTGTTTAAACAAGCTCTGGGAAACTGAATTGCTGATATCAGAAATCCAGACACTGTGTGCAACATAAAATAGATATATGTAAGTATATGCCACAAAAACACGTTCAAATGAATCACCTGCTCTCGGTCCATTTCTCTGTCCACATAAGGCTCTGAAAGATGATAATGAGTATCGTAAAAGTTGTCAGCACTATAAACCTTCACTGCAGGAATCTTCCGCACTTCAAAATTCTAGAAAAAGAAGTACAAGTAAGTCCAGATGTATCATGGAGAACACTGCCTCTTGCAAAGCAGCTAAACGGAACACACACTAATTTGAGTTTGCAAATCATTTTAAAAGAAAATCAACACCAAAAACCTATTATCACAAAATTCTCCCCGAAAACATCACATATTTTAAAACTTGATATATCTATATTAATTATTAATAAATCACATCAGGACAAGGCTATCTGAAGGGCTTGACAACTGAGAGCATCTAACAGCCTAAGGTAAACTCCTTTGCACAAACTGACATTACAACTGCCCAGAAACGAAAGCGTTTTCCATAAGTGCAGAACAGAAATATCTATACATACAGTACAGAGTATTCATTTTTTGAAGAGTTTTGAGTATACTATCAAATATCAAGTCTTGTCTGAACGTTTTTGGACATTAACCAACTATATCTAGGCCACTCTCCATCATCTCGGGAAGGTCCTGGAGGACAGGAGAGGTGCCTGAGGACTGGAAGAAAGCCAATGTCACACCAGTCTTCCAAAAGGGCAAGAAGGAGGAGCCAGGGAACTCCAGGCCTGTCAGCCTCACCTCCATCCCTGGAAAGGTGATGGAACAGCTCCTCCTGGAGGTCCTCACTAAGCATGTGGAGGACAAGAAGGTGATCAGGAGGAGTCAGCATGGATTCACCAAAGGGATATCATGCTTGACCAATCTGATAGCCTTCTATGACGGAATGACTGGCTGGGTAGATGAGGGCAGAGCAGTGGATGTTGTCTTTCTGGACTTCAGCAAGGCTTTGGACACTGTCTCCCATCACATCCTCCTAGGTAAGCTCAGGAAGTGTGGGCTAGATGAGTGGACGGTGAGGTGGCTTGAGAACTGGCTGGATGGCCGAGCTCAGAGGGTTGTGGTGAATGGCGCAGAGTCAAGTTGGAGGCCTGTGGCTAG